TTCTTATCTGAAATTTCCCTGATTTTGATTGTGTTGTCTGTGGGTGATGAAGAATGGAATTTTTTTCCCTTTGGGGAGAGACATCTTGTTAGTTGTTCATATATCTTGTGCCTCTGTAATTGTTCCTATTCATCTGGTTCCTATTCATCTGGTGATCTGTACATTCCTTCCTAAATTATTTAAGGAATCTACAAACTTTCAAAGTTGTGCAGGAGTAGAAACTTGGTGGTCTCTTCTGCTCTGCCTCTCTGTTGCTTATCAGCACCCTGCACTCTTGTTACTTGTCCTTGGTGACCCAAAGTCCTCCCTGTTTCTAGAGAACAGGTCTGCCTGAAACTTAGCTGCTCAACTTCAATTCAGGAGTAAAGAAAGCATCGCACGTTGCATGCTCTCCAAAACACCAAAGTCTTGAGAGTTCAAAGATGAGTGGAAGAGGGGATGAGCCATGGATTCTGGCTGTTAGGCCGTGCAGCTGCAGGCTGCTTGATGTCAGGCAAGGCCTTTCCCTTGAACCAGTATCAGAATGGGATGGGGAGGGGCATAAGTTTGTCTTAAAGTCCTGACAAAAACTTGAAGTCCAAAAGTGAGTTTGGGAGGAGATAAACCACAGATCTGGTCACTAGGCCCTTCAGCCACAGGCATCCTGGTGTCTGGCAAAGCCCTTTGCTTGTAGCAGTATCTGGAATCTTATTTGTTTTTCAAAGAAGCTTTGTGGGGAAGGAGTGGTCACCAAAATGATAAATGAAGAAGTTGAAGAGTTGGAAGTTTTCATGAGTTAAGTTTTCAGACTGGGGGCCAGCAGGTGTTGTGGTGGTTAAGGACATTGGACTCCCACATGGCCAACTGTTGTTTGAGTCATGGCCCTAGTGGCTTGCTTTCTCCCTTTCTCTCTCTCTCTCACTCTGGTCAAACTAACTAAATAAATAAAGTTAAATAAAATAATTCTTTATTTAAAAAAAATGATGCTTGCAGATTGTCATGAGTTCTGAGTAATGGCTATCAGTGCCAGAACCTCCAGGACCGCCCTCAGAGCCCTTGTGCCTGATAAATCTTGTGCAAGACAGGCAGAGATGAATCTAATTTTCTTTCTAAAATAAACACAGTCTTTGCAGTTGGATGGAAATAAGAGCAGGTTGGAAAAAAATTCCACTATTAGTAGCAGAAACAAAAGTTTAAGCTGTGCATCTGTAATTGTTCAGGATGAATGTTATTAAGGGTTTAGTGCCTCAAAGGTAGAAAGAGTTGAAGAGGTAGCTCATCAGGATAAACCTTTTCAAATCATCAGCATATGAGGACTGACTTTGTATGCAATGGGAATATAGAATCTAGTCAAGTTTCAGTTGTGATGTTAGACAGCAAATCCAGAGTGAAAGGGGGAGAGCAGTGAACCATCTATGGAACCTTCTCTTTCCTCTACCTCAGTCACCACAACCCTGGACACCTTATTTGTTCAACTTGAAATATGATGAGTTTCAAGGATTTCTGGAGATTCTGGGCCTTTATGGCCATCTCCAGCTTGTACTTGTTTATGTGGTCTATTTGAGGAATGAAGGACTTTCAATCCGCCTTGCTACTGTCTGCATATAGTGTAGGATTTTTCTCAACAGAGATAGCAAGTGCCTCCTCAGCCAGGACATCAATCAGGACACTGAACTTAGACACTAACACTTTACATAGAGAGAAACGAGATAGGACATTCTTATGAGAGTCAGGACATTATTATGAAAAGACAAAAAGAGCAAGGGGTGATCTGGGAAGGGGTTGAAAAGGGTAGTAGTTGGCCAGAAATACTGAGCATAGGATGCCTCATAGGGAAGATGAAGTATGTGGGGAGAGAAATACCTGGCAGATGCAATGAAATAACTAGAGGTTGTTGGGAGATCAGACACATATCATTTTTGCCAATATACAATATGTTGCTGATTCTTTCATATGTCAGACTGGCCTATAAGACAATGTAAACGTGGAAAATTAGTTAAAATAAGTGTTTCTGTATTGATGTGTTTTTCTAAAATAGACACAGTTTCCGCAGTTAGAAGGAAACAAGAGCAGGTGGGAGAAACATCCGTGATTAGTGCTGGAAGCAGAGATTTGAGCCAGGCTATTGAATATTATGTTATGGATGTGGATGTCTTTCTTGTCCCCTTGTGAACTGCAGCCCTCACCATGAAGTTTTCTCAATGACCAAGCCCCCTGTATCTCCCCCACTTGCTCTTGCCTTCCCTCACTTATTCCTCCTCTTCCTCCTGAGCTATCTTACATCTTGCTTCCTCCCTACTCATTCACTATATTCCTTCTCCCTTAAGTTCCTCCTCATTCTTCCACTTCATCTCTTTTCTCTTTAGCTCTCCTTTTCTTCACTTGCTTTCTCCCTGCTCTCTCCCTTCCTAACCCACTTTCTTTTTCCCAGCTTTCCCTGTGCCCCAAGAGATATCCTTGGCCTTAGCCTTAAGAATGTTAAAGAAGAGTTCTGGAGTTTTCAGTTCACCATAAATGTAAATAAAGATAGAACGGGAAGAGAGAGAGAGGTAGGGGCACTTCTTATCAAGCCTTGGCACCATGAACATCCCTTCTGTGAGAACTAGGACACAAGTTTTCTGGCTATGTTCTGGGAAGGTTAGGAACCTTCTACTCATAGTGTTAAAAAGTATAGAAAGACTTCGAAAGGGGAAATTTGTGGGTGCTATAAGGAGAGAAGAAAGAAAGAAGCTGTTGATGAGCAGAGAAGTGGAAGAGAGTCTTGCCCTTTTGTTTCCACTAGCTTGTTTTCTGAACCTAAACCGGCCACTGCTCCTTTCTTAACCCAAATTCCCTTGTCTGTAAGACAAGACAGTAAGTTCAGTCTATGATCTGAAAATAGGGAGAGATAGAGGTCTGGGAGGAAGGCTGGGTTGGGCAGTGAGCTGTAGATAGGAAAGAATCTTTCTGTCTCTGCAGATGGGTTGGGGTTTCCTGCCTCCTTATTGTCTCTCAAAACCTAGATTTAACATCCAGAGGACAAGATATGAGAAAGTGCTTCCAGAACAGTGTTTCTTCTCACCCTTGGCTTGGCCTAGGTCACCCCTGACCAGCCTCATCTGTACATTCACATGTTTTATCTCCCACCAACAGTTCTTTCTCTCTGCTTTCCCACTATGCCAGTTTTCCCCTGTTCCTCTCTTACTGCCTTCCATCTCTAAACATCTTTATTCATCCTTAGTCATTCCTAAACTAGGACACAAAGCACAAGATTATTTTCCATCTATAATTCCCCTTTCTGTGAATTTCTTTCCTCCTTCCACCAGAGCAGGCATTCGGTTTCCCATTCCTGGTTCTCATTCATCAGGAGGTCAGATCTCTACTCCCAGACCTGCCAGGGACCAGCCTCAGCTGGAGGTGGGTTGACTCGACTGAGGCGGCACTGGAAGGAAAGGAAGACAAAGGCCTTGTGCTTTTTTCATGCACGTCCTGAGTCGGACACTCCTCTGAGATTGCTCTCTGAGGAGAGACAACTATTAGGAATCATCGTGCCTTTTTATTGAAAATGTGATACATGCAAGTAAATGGGAGAGGGACTACGTGTTCTAATTATCAATTCATAAAGTTTTAACAATAGAAACCATTCAGGGTTTGATTAAGGGAAGGTCTATTAATCATCGATAGAGTTCAACAATTTTTTGATTGATGAAAGCAGGTTCCTGGTAACTTCAAGCAGTGCAGTTTCAGGAAACAATTCCAGCAAGCAGAGTTAACTATCAGCCGATGTTCATCAGCAGCCGTCTTATGATTACTAAAATA